TGTAATGAAATTTATGGACTGAATTGAATCTTATGTAATTTATGTGATGGGTGAGAGAGAGAGAGAGAGAGAGAGAGAGAGGGAATGATGGAGAGAGATAATAATAATAATAGGAAGGAGAAGAGGAAGAAAAAGAAGCATACAAATAACAACAACTATAACAACACTGCAATACCTCTGAAGGGAACAAGCTACTCGTCCACTGTTATCTCGGGCCCTGGGTTGTACAGGCAAGGAAGCCGCTCTGCCCACCTGTCCCACAGGTCTCTGACCGCAGCCACTTTGTCTGCGGCACGTCTCTGGTCTCTCTGGTCTCGCGGTCGTCGAATCGCAGCAGCGTCGACTACGCATAAGGACCTTGAGCAGCATCGTGGCCCAGAATATGGCCCGTCCACTCTCCGCGTCCCACAGGCTGGCCGCTCCCTGCATTGTGATGCTGACACTCAGAGGACCATGTGATTGTACCGTTTTTGGACACAAAGGTCTGCTCTTCGGCTTCTCGATCTTCCTCTTCGTCTCCTTCTTCTCGATCCTGATCACTCTCCTCGTCCTCGTACTTGTGGTCGTAGTCTTTGTCCGACACGTATTCGTCATTGGAGTCGTCAGAATACCAGTTGTTGTCCTGAGCCCAGGTTCAACAAACTCTGAGTGTAAACCTGAACTCTGGGTTGACGAACTCTGAGCAGTCAAACTCAGAGTTTTCAGTTTCAGAAAGGCCGATCAGAATTAGTTCAGTCAACTCTGAGTATGTTGAACCTGATTGAAGCGCGTGCGTGGGGATGAAAAAAAGCCATCATCAATGGAGCTCCGATACTACGATTCACCATGGCAACGGGTAAATAAAGGCAGAGCCTTTTAATCGGGTGGAGCTATAAATATGATTTCTGCCAACTCGGACCATGATTGGCTCTAAAACGCAAGATCGATATGTTAATATTAGATTTTATACAGTGTTGCTCATTCATCATTTATCAGACTGGAATTGATGATAGTGATAATGATAGTGCTGGAATTCCCCTACAGCCTGTTATTCATTTTAAATAGCAACAGGCATGTTTATTCAGCTGGAACCTGACGGGGCTAAATGCCGGTGGCAATAACTGATGATGAAAATATTAATTGGACAGATTAGACACAGTTTAGGCTCTTCATGGACCTGTGATTGTAAAGTGACAGTCCGACTCAGTAGGCCTATGGCTATTAATGTTTTTTTTGCAGTGTAAAATGTGTCTAGGTTCAAACTGACTGTGAAGTTTTAGACGTCTATGTCACATTAATACAATCTGCCTCATTTTGTATTTTATGAAATGCTGTCAGAACACATTCAGACTATCAGCAAATAATGAAAAACTCACTTTTAAACTACATTTATTTGTTTCAGCTGCACCACAGTCATCCGTACTCAGAAAAATTCACTTCATATCCAGCTGATAACTACGATAGGAATGTTCAATCTGTGCCACTACAAGACGAAAGGTTACTGTTCATTGATCAGTTTTATACAAATTAGTTTAAACAGTACAGCCTACTGCAGCTCTGTAGCGCATGGTAAGTGTTTTTGTGCAACTGTTGCCAACCTGACAGCTGCCTTAATGTCCAAAGAGTCACTGTGTTATAAAGGACAGTAGTTTATAGATTTTATTCTGTGCTGAGGATAAATTTACGATGTCCAAAAAGAACTCTTTGTCCATACATCAATGACGGATTGATCATAAAAGCGTTCATGTTCAAGATCACGTTGGGGTAAAAACACTAATAGTAAAACACTAATCCCTGTCTAACTGGGATATCGATGTTTCTAAAGATGTAATTGCGTTCCAATATGTGCTTTGATATCGACAGTCTGAATGAGGAAATGCAGACGGCCGCATCAGGCTCCCCAGAGAGAAACTCAGCGTTTGGGCAGCCAAACTCATAAGGTTTTGTTTCCAAGGCCTGGTTTCAACAGAGCACAGGGACTGAATAAATGTGGAATAGCATTATGTGAACGCCAGTGCCAAGATAATAAAGAGCTAATAGCTCACATGAAGGAGCATATTGTTGAAGGACGTGTTGTGAGTCGTCCAGTGAGAGGATGCAAACAAATTTTCAAGGTTAAATCTTAATTTACCACCCACATGTCATGGAAACAGAGAGTTTGCTTCTCATAACTCACAATTGAGTGAAAGATACAGCAGATGATGAGTGGCTGTTGACTCTGCAGCTGAAAGACATTGTGGACATGATTTGTGCTCAGAAAATCTCTCTGCCTCAGGTTGCATATCTTGATGTTCTTATTCAAGAATATTTAGAGTCAAGAAAAGCTTTATTCTATGAAAGTAGCCTGAAACCAAAGCATCATTATTACATCATTACCCAGCAATGATTCTGAAGTTTGGTCCCTTGATCAGACTATGGACAATGTGCTTTGAAAGTAAGCACAGTTATTTCAAGAGATGGAATTTGAAGAATTTCAAAAACCTCTGCCTTACTCTCTCTGAAAGACATCAGATGTTGCAGACTTATCTTTCAGCAGGATCGGTGGATCAAGCTGTCTTGCCAAATGAGTTTATCTTGGTCTCATCAGACCACAGGACATAGTTCCATCAAAGTAATCAAAGATGCAAGTTGTGTAGTGTGAACAGCACGTCCATTGGCCGACACTGAAAGTCGTGTAGTCTGCATGAGGCATTAGTTTATTTTATTTTGTTTATTTATTTTGAAAATTTGCGTCGCTTGTAACAAGTTACTACCCACCCTGCTGCAGGCGTCCTCACTACTGTCTTCAGGTAGGCTATAAGTAACAGCAGCACAAAAGAAAGGTCTGTAATATTGAGGGACTTTGTTGCACCTGCCTCAAGCAAACTTTTTTCACCACCTTTGCGTTGTGTTGCACGTTTTTTGTTTTGTCCGTTTAATTATGTCTGATGTGGAGTGTGTAATTGACACTCATTGTAAACTGCCTTGTCTCTGAGCCAACTCCACCAGAGAAAAGTTAGGGGGACAAAACATAGATTTTTGAAATGTTAGGGGGACATGCACTGAGCACTGACAGGCTGACCCCCCACCCCTACAGCCTCTGCAGCAATGCTGGCAGCACTCTCTGGATATGACACTGAGCATGTGCATTCGACTTCTTGCTAAAATGCATTATAAGCTTCTACTAGCTAATGTAATAAGTTGGCTAAAGTTTAGCTAAGGCAATATATAGTGACCATACAGGCTAATGTACTGTACATTACACTGAGACACTGCAGGTGAACACAGTAAAATTTGTCCAATAACTTCATCACAATCGCCACTTCATTGAATTAGGTGTTTACAAATTTAAAAAATGATCATAGGCTCCTCATCTAATAAGTATGCATTCTATTCTATTAGTTAGTTGTATGTGTCTCACCTGTGGTTAATTGCCCTGCCTGCTTGATGTGTGTCTGGTGTGCTCAAGTATAAAATGTCCTCTGTTGTAGTCACTTCTCATAGTGTTGTCATTGTTTGTCGAGCATTTCCCTGCTTGTTTCCGTGTTTGCCTTGCTGTGGATTTTGAGACCTTGTTTGGATATATGTTCATGTTTACCTGCCTTTGTTTGGACTTGACTTCACCTTGTGTAGGCCTGACATTTTCTGTTGGTGTCTATATAAACCTTCAAGCTGCATCAGAGCCTCTGGTGTTTACATCTGGGTCTAAACTCTGTTTCCTGACTCAACAGGCCCACGGTCCAACTAGAAATACCCAGCAAATAAACAAACAGGCAGCTGCTGCGTTTTCACCACAAAGAATACCATTCACCCCAAAATTTACGCTCTCTAGGATGGTCAGGCTTATATTAGAATAGGTATCTTGAACCTATGTACTGTACTAGTACAGAGTTAGTACAAATAATTACACTGTAAGATGGGAAGAATTGTGCTGTGTAAGTGTAAAATGTATACATATTGCATTAAAATATAGGAAACTTCATAAAGTTATACACATATTTTGAAGACAAGAATAATAACAATAGGAAGGAGTAGTTATGAGTGTGACTGCTGCTTACATCAATAAAAAACGCTGTAGAAAAGGGAATGGTGACAAAGCAATCATAAAAATAAATTGAAAACATGACATTTAAGTACAAAAAAGATGAACCTGCACATACATGTAAAAGCAGAATGACAAAAGATAGACGACCTGTTTTGAAATACGGGTGTTTCACCACATTCTAAAGTATCTGCCACCATTATCTTCTTATCTTTCTTGCTCAGGGCTTTGCAGATGACACAAATGTCACAGTAAATAGTACTATAGTACTTTAGAGTCTGAGGCACATTGCTGTTTGTAGCTTTAAGTCTCGTGCAGACTACACAACTTTCAACGTCGGCAAATTGGCATGCTGTTCAGACCACATCTTGCTGTCTTGTGACAGGAGTCTTAAAGTCATTGTGGCGTTCACACTACGTGACTGATCAGTGACAGGGGGTCACAGGCTACACCACCTGACAATGACTCTGTCACCCAAAGGCTGGTCTCCAAACCACGTTTTGTCAAGAAAACACACGTGAAATGTGAAATGGGAAATGAGGCTAAACTATACATGAAACACTTTTTTTTTTTTTATTGTAATGATAAAAATGATAAAGACAAAGAATATGAGTAAAATAATGGATTAGCACACACAAGTAGCAGGGATTGTCTGTGCACCAAAGAGAGCTGGAGGAGAGTAAAAAGTGTTTTGCAGTGAAAAAGTACTCGAGTCGGCCAACTCCTCCAGATATTTGGCGTGCTAGATATCTGGCTGTTGTCGGCGACATGTCAGCGATGCGTCAGGGAGCCGTTTCAATGCATCATTGAGTAGTTAACACTTAACGACTGGCGACCGCCAGTCGATCGGTGATTTACCCCCGATCACAGCCCGACGGTTGCCAAGCTCACTGAGCGTAAAATCTTGTAGTGTGAACTAGGTTTTAGTTGAACTTTGGCTTCATGCTAAAACACAGTGTCCAACAGAGCCTCTCAATATGTGTGTGTGTGTGTGTTGTACCTGTTAAAGGCAGCAACGTTGTCAGCCAGTGTGATTTGCTCATCAGCCCCTGAGCGGTAGTAGTCATACACAGCTTTAGGAAGAACTTTCCTGGCTTCCTCCTCGAAGTCTGCCACACACACACGCTGCCCTGACATGGCTGTCCACTCAAACACCAAAACACTGTGTTCACAGTCCGTCACTCTGACACAAAGAGAAGGGCTGTTGTGATAAGCAGAGCTGCTGTAATCATTAACCTGCTGCAGGCTTTGCCAGCCCTGAGCCTCTTCAGTTCATGATTTCTGAGGGGGATGTCAATCTGCTCAGTTAAAACAAGACAAAGACATGTTATGAAGGTCAGAACAAACCTAGCTAATTACATCATGGTTATGACTATATACAATCTGGACATTTATATCCTGCGCATAGGTTATGAGATAGTGCTGGCTGCCAGTGAACTTTGAATCCTCATGTGTAAGTGTGTCCACATAAAATTGCTGATGTGTTTATTCAAGAGACAACTGTCCACACGCAGTGGGAAATACTGTGTAATGTTCCAATCATGGTGAAGCAGGCCATGTCAGAGTCAAAGCTGAGATGCAGCACCAAATGTTAATTATTCCTCTTTTCTGTTAACATCAGAGTTCCAGCAGTTGTCTATTGTCTTACAGAAGGTCTACACACGTTGCTACCACAGTGCAACTACTCCTATAGCACCTTTGTCAACCATTGCTTTGTACTTCATTTTGTACAGAATCAATACACTATAAAAAAAAAAAAAAAGAAAAAAAAAGGAAAAATCATAAAATAACAGTAAAAAGTCTGGCAGCAAAGTTTCCAACCACTTCCCGTCAATTACAGTAAAAAACCTTAAATTATTTTACAGAAAAATTTTGTTTTTTAAAAACAGATAATTACTTTAAACATTTTCCATATTTTTACAGTCGAACAGATGTGGAATAAAAAAATCATTAAAAACAACCTCTGTAGAATGTTAAACAAATGTATCAATCTGTATAGAAACTTAAAAATATTGCAAAAATACCTTAAAATTACATAATTAAAACGAAGACTGCTGTTTCAATACAGTATTCTTTGGTATTTTTAAGATTGTCCAATCCATCCACAAGAACTCCCTGTCAAAGTACAGATTTTTCAATGTAAAGCACAAAGAAAATTCATATAATTACCTTCAAATACCATAATTTAAAGCATAGATTTATGTTTATTTTATGTCATTATTCAATATATTTACAGTTAATTCCTGTTAAATATTGGTTTTATCCTGTACAAAAAAAAAAAACAAGTGATATTAAGTTATTGTTTTTTACAGTAATTACAAGCAACTCTCGATATATCTACATACTTTTACCATTTAAATACGTGGGTTACTTTATATAAACATTGTTTGACATTAATTACAAGCAACTCTCCAATATATCTACATATATACTGGGGGTGGCTGTGGCTCAGGAGGTAGAGCAGGTTGCCCGTTAATTGGGAGGTCGGCGGAAACCCGAGTGTGTGAATGCTGAATGCAGATGTAGTGTAAAAGTGCTTTGAGTGGTCAAAAAGACTAGAAAGGCGCTATACAAGTACAGAGCATTTATATTTATATATTTTTATCATTTCAATACGGGGGTTACTTTATATAAACATAATTTGACAGTAATGTGAGACATCCACCAATGTGTCCCTGAGCAAGACACTTAACCCCTCGTTGCTGACATATATAGCAATTGTAAGTCGCTTCGGATAAAAGCATCAGCCAAATGAATAAATGTCAATGTCGGGACGGCTGTGGCTCAGGAGGTAGAGCGTTACTGAACCCCGAATTGCCCCTGGCGGCTGTTCCGCCAGTGTATGAATGTGTGTGAATGTTAGTTTCCGTTTGAGCACTTAGGCTCAGTGTATGAATGTGTGTCAATGGTGAATACAGATGTAGTGTAAAAGTGCTTTGAGTGGTCGAAAAGACTAGAAAGGCGAAACTATACAAATACGAAGCATTTGCATTCAAAATGTCAAATGTTAATTACAAGCAACTCTCCAATATATCTACACATTTTTACCATTTAAATACGGGGGTTTACCTTAGTTGTTATTACCTTACTTATTTGACAGTAATTACAAACACATCTCCAATAAATTTATACGCTTTTACCATTAATGTATGTAATTAAAGGCACATTTTCTAACCATCAATAAACATTGTTTTATAGTAATTAAAAACTTTCCAATATATCTACTTTATCTTGTTAATGTACATAATAACAATAACAATAATAATACATTTTGACAGTATTAAAAAGCAACTCCGATATATCTACAGACTTTTCTTATTAGTGCATGTGATTTACTTCATATAAACATTATTTAACAGTAATTACAAGCCACATTCTATGTGCACACTTTCCCTATTAGTATATGGTGTTTTAATGTCCAAAAACCAGAAGGTCTAGGTTAAAGTGCATTTTTATCAATGACTTTTTCACTGAATAAATATACATTTTTCTGACATTTTACAGCATTGTCCCATCCATTCACAGCAGATCCCCATTTGAGATGTATGTTTCAAGACGTATTATAACCAAAATGTATCATAAAATGACCATTTACTGCTTGCTTTACAAAGAAATTCACAAATTTTACAGTGCTGTCATTAAAGATAAAATTTTAATAATCTAATAACCAGCCATATCAAGTTATAATAACTTGGGTCTGACACTGATCAACCCAATAAGAGCCCAGTGTTTCCCACAGGATTTTGTGAGACTATGGTGGGTGGACATCAACCCCCTAGGGGGATCCGGGGGGGTGCCCCCCGAAAGAAAAATGTGTGCATTTTAAAGTGTATTAACTTGGTACACTTTAAAAGCAAAATAAAGAGGCTAGATCTATGACAATTGACAGTTGACAATTTTGTGCCCTAGTAAATAGTAGTAAGTAGTAATTTGATCATAGACACTGCATAGATATAAATGGTACAAACCAATGCCGAAGGTGCCCCCTGAGCAAAGCCCTGAACCCCAAACCTCTCCCCGGGCGCTGTATGATGGCAGCCCACTGCTCCTAAATAGGATGGGTTAAATGCAGAGAACTAATCTCCCTTTCTAATCTCCCGTTTAGAGTGCACAGCGAAAAATTTTAACTGGATGGGACTAAATCTAAAGTTCTAAAGTAAAAAGTGTGTAAATTGCCAAAAAATTAATTCCTGTTGGGTTTAGGCAATGGCTCCAAGAGGCTCTTTTGTACGTCTGGACATGATACATGTACCACAGAAATTTTAAACACATTGGTGAAACTTTGCCCGGGGGCTGCTCTGTAGGGGGCGCTAGTAAGCCATTTTGCCTTGCATTCGTGGTTCCCAGTACCAGTGAGGTTTCCAGCCCCACTCTTGGACCACTAACAAAAACGAGAACAATTACTGCAATATCTTGCATTCGTGGGTTCACTCGGGTTTGGACCCCTAATCAACCAACCCTATTCAGTGTTTCCCACAGAATGACAGTGTAACTGTGATGCATGGTGAAAGGGAGGTTTGTGAAGTCGAGATTTACCACCAGCTATGTACAGCGCCGTTAGATCAGGCTGTTTTCACACACAGGGAAATCACTCATTGCCCCAGAAGCTCAATGCAGATGCAAGACGCAAGCTTGCTGAAGATGTCGTGGCTGTGTGGGCGGAGTCAGATAATCCGTAAATAAAAATTAAAGCCATACATTTGGTCAAGCTTTGTAAACAAGAATGTGCGCTGCCCAAGTAAAAGTAGCCCCTGTCAGACCCACTTTTTTCTTGTGTTGAGCAACATATGGAGTCTTTCAAGTAATAACCTATTTGATAGGGGACAATTCACAATATTGCAAAAATGAGTTAATTTTGTCCCCTATTTGTAGCCTGTTTTAACATCCTACTGTTGCAGTAGCTTTCATTTATTGTGAACTGTCCCCATAAATAACTGCATATGTATTTGAATATATAGTATTTTTTAATGATACATAAATTAATTAATATTGATTCAATTTGTAATATTTTCTTATTGAAATTGTATTCACCACCACTTGACTACACATTCTTTCTGATGACAAGAGGTGCTTAAATTGTAAAACTGTTTTTTTGTTGGGTTTTTTTGTTACAGAAAACAATCTGGCAATTTTTTTTAACATACAGTATTTAGGGACCTATTCATGGTTTCATTGCCCAGTATCCGAATGTAGCATAACTATAGCAAGCTCCATCAGGAGGTAGTAATTTTATCAATAAAAATGTCAAAGAGGAACAGAGAAGGTGGCAAACTTGAACAGGCAAAAATTAGAACGTTGCTCCTTTGACAACACCCCGTATCCGTAACACACCTGGTCTGCGACACTAGTAGTTTCTGCAGGTCATTGTGGTTGTTAGGGTCAGTGAAGCAAGATAATGAAAAGATATCCTGGGTATGTTGAACTTGCTTCGTAATACAGGACCCTGGTGTGCATCCAGTTTATGTCATGAAGTCAATATTAAGATTCTCACTGTGAAATAAAACACCTAACTCTTTTGAGTTCCATGTTTATTTGGCATCCAACAAAATCCAATAAAAGCTTTAAGAATGAACATTTTGCACCATCACCAAAAACATAATTTTTCCCCACTTAAAATGTAAAACTAGAAGTTCAAGATTAATAAAATGCAAGCATTAGGGCAGGGGAGTGAATACGAATGAGGCAAACAGCTTCTCTCAGGCAAGTCAAAAAAGGCAGAAATCTAGCCTACTCCATTCAGTTCTATCTAAAGGAGGCCTGAAGACAGTTGCAAAGCACAACACAGACTAAAGATGCACACAGAAGAAAAGAATCAGACAGAGGTTCCCCCTTTACCTTTACACGTCTGTCCTAAGCTCACAAATGAGCCATCCAAAACTATTTCACATGACAGGACATTTTAGTTATTTCCACGAAAGCACAAAGAACCTTCCTGAGAAAACAACTGCATTCAATCTTTTATTCTTGGGAAATAAATTTGAACACTTAGAGTCTTTATCAAAGCACAGTTTGATTATTGTTTTCCATCTGCATTTCTTTTCATTTCAGTGTCCATGTAGCCTTAAGAATCCTGCTGAACATTTGTTCTCCTTATGTCTGCCTAACTGTGTTTCAGAATCATAACACCATTGAGGAAAACATTAGGTAAAGACAAGTGTGGCCATGTAAATGCCCCATCCGTCTGAGCCTTAGCCCCAGTGAAGTCCATC